CCCGGACCATCCATAGCAGCAGGACCAATGCAGGACTCTGTCTTCCAATCACAGCTGTCCTGTTGCACCAGTCAGAATGTTTGAGAGAAAACATGCTTACATGTCTTATGCCTGCTCCTCCACACAGATGTCAGAGTGGCTGAAGTCCCCCATGAGGACTGGGGTTTGTGAATGTGAGGCTGCTCCTGTCTGTCTAGAGAGCCTCATCAGCTTGATCCTCCTGGTCAGGTGGCCTGTAGCAGGCTCCACTATAAAGTTACCTGTGCTTGCCCTCCCTTTAATCCTGAGCCATAAGCTCTAAATCAGCTCCTCCCCAGTCTCTCCTGAGGTGGAGCTCCATGCACTCCAGCTGGTCATCGTCAGAGGGGTTGACACCTCCTCGTCTTCCCTGCCTGTCCTTCCTTAAGAGACTGTATCCTTCCATTCCAGCGCACTGCAGTCACAGGAGTTTCTACTGTGTTTCCATGATGCCAGTAAGATCATTGCTGTGCACGCATGCACACATCTCTAGTTTAACCCCCATGCTGCGTGTATTAGCATGGAGGCATTTAAATTGGGCCCCCCATGAAGCTGACTTGCCTGGAATTCCCTTGTGCTATCCCTCAGGTGCTCTCCTGCTGACTTGCAGTCCCTCTGCAGGATCTGAGCATCTCTTGCTGGCTCTGGCATCTTAACTGATGTAAGTGGGATAGCAAGTCATCTGACACCTTATCATCGTTTTACCTGATGATATCTCCACCCCCCATTATATCTATTTTAAAGCCATAATAATGAGCCCCGCTAGCCCCCGACCAAAGACCCTCTCCTTTTGGGAGAGGTGATGCCTCTGCTCCCATCTGATGCCAGCAAATCTGGTGCCATGTAGGCCATCCCATTATCAAACAAACCAGAATTTTGAAAAGGACACCAGCCACAGAACCATGTATTAATAGACTAGGTCTATCTGTTCCTTTCAGTCACTACCTGCATGTGGAGGAATAGAGGAAAAAAAATATCCTGCACCCTTGATTCCCTCACCAATCGTCCTAAGATCTTGAAGTCCCTTTTCATGGCCTTTGGACTACATGTTGTGAGTTCGTCACCACCCGCATGGAGGATCAGCAATGGGTAGAAGTTTGAGCACTTTACTAAGCTAGGAAGTTTCCTGCAATATTTCTGACCTATGCCCCAGGGAAGCAGCAGACACTCCTAAGGGGAGTCTCCTTCCAGCATATTGGACCTTCCATTCCCCTTAGAAGGGAACCATATACCACTGTAATCCTTCTTTTCTTCTGTGAGGGACTGGTCTTGATACAAGGTGTAGGTCCTTCTGGCCTCGATAACATCCCTGGTGGAGAGTCACCATCATCTTAATCATCCATTACCTGACCTTCCACATCCAGAGCCCCATACCTATTGTGCAGAGGCACCTGGGAGGGTGAGGTGGACAAGAAGGTCTTCTTGTCCCAAGCAAGGACTTGCCTCCATTCCTTCTGACCTACTCCTTTCAGCCTAGCAGAGGGAGGTTACAGGACTCTCTGATAAAGAAGGGATAGATAGCAAGTAGTTTCTGTAGAATAATCACTACCTTTTTACAGTTGTTTTCACAATGACTATTTATTAGAATCTTCAAAGAAGCTAATTTGAGTTGACTTTATAGCGTCCCTTACTGGGACCTTGCTTTAAAAAAGTTGGGACTCCCCCATCATTCAGTAGGAGGGTCTTCTTGAGAATACAATTCACGACATCACGACATCACTGTGAGATGAAAGGGTGAGGGTGAGGTGGGGAAGATAACAGTTTTTACCAAGGCACTACTAATTAACTTTCTTGAGACAACATTCAGCTCACCTACGTATTTCCATTGCATGTTATAAACTAAGAGATGCTAATTTTGAAATACAATTTTATTGCAATTCATCAAGAGATGAAGTTGGGCCTAAATTCTCCACTGAGCCTTCAGCTAAGCTTACTTCTTGAAGTAGAATCAATATTTATCAGTAACTATTGTAAACTAGTAACAGTTACTAGCTTTCTGGTAAGTAGTGGTAAAACACTGAGCCATTTTTGCATAGTAAAGATTTTAGTTTTGTCAGAAAACACAGCAAACAGAACAAGGTCTATAGGTAGAGTTTTCATGACATCTTTAATAATAACAGAAAACCCACACTTAACTGATTTAATAGCATATTACAATGTTCCTGTTTGTACCCCCCTCCCTGTTGCCCCATTTTCTGTCCCTCTTTAAAATTCTCTCTTCAGAGTTATCATCTACTTCTTCTTTCAGAAGCAACCTTATAATTAACTCTGAGCACTTCAATAACTTGTATTTGAAATCTGCATCTTGCATTTTGGACCAGAAGGGCATGTGTGCCTGAAGGTTGTCTTTTTATTTTCCTGTTTTCTTCTTTTCTCCTACATTGGACCAAGCGGCCTGACAAGATTGTCTGCAAAACTGCATTGCCTGATCATCCAAATACTGCTGGAGAAAGTAACTGCTGGAAAAAGAAAAAACACTAAAAGTCACAGTAGTGTGACTGGCAGATGTAATTTAAAACATTTAAAATGCGTGCATTCAAATGAAACACTATTGGGAATGTGAACAGCAAGATGGCTAGTTTGGTAAAAGATGTGGTCTGCCTAATTCTTGTCTTGGTTCAGAGACTGCATAATAAACTAAATATTAGTAATAAAAAATAATAAAATTACTTCGCAATTTAGGGCTATGGTGGCAGGCAGCTGGTCTGTTCCTTTTACTTGTATAACTTGTGCAGTTTAATAAGACTATACCCTTCCTGTGTTTAATGTATAAATGCGTACTGTCATTGGGATACATAGCATTTAATTTCCTCATTTTAGCATTGAAAAATGTCTGTGCTGTACAGGATTTACACAGCATGTTATGAACTGTGCTTAGCACAAATTCTTGAGAACATATAGTACGTGTACCTTCCATAGATACTTTGTGCTCAGAGACAAAAAAAGCAATTTCTAACTCCAGGCATTTCCTCCTCAGTTTTTGTTGCATTTGCTAAATATATTTCAAAATATGGACAGAGCACTTGCATCCAGATAAACTCCGCTAAATATAATAACCTGCCCAACTAACCTGAATACAACATCCCTAATATAGTGTTAAGTTCATTTAAAAAACAAAACAAAACAAAACAAGAACACCCCCCCCACACCTCCAAAAAAACCCAAACGAAACCAAACAAGTAAATGAAATGGTGTAGGATTGTGTTTGGGCAGGGATTGTTCTACTTTTTCTTCTATTGTACACATGCACAGCTTCATTAATATCTGAGAGTAGCTTTATGTGATTAATATTGGGATAAGTCATATCTTAATCTTTTAATTTGTGATGCACAGAGTATAAGTGAGCAGAAGTAATGCTTGTCTTTCAGAATAGCAGATAACAGACAACTGTTTAAGTTCACAACAACCTTCCACACAGTATTTTTAAGTAAAAGCAAAATGCAAATATATTAAAAGATTAAGGGAACAAAATATTCGTGGCATAGAAGGAAAGAGTGAGAAATACCCTGACCTAATTTGAAGAAGCATAAACTGCCTGTAAGTCCAAACATTAACTAATTTTTTTAGAAGACTACAAAAACCCAAGATGCTTACATAAAATTCCCTAAAAGAGAATGGTTTTTAATAGTTGAGTACAATATTCTGTTAGTGACAGCCACTTTGTGAGCCTTCTATAAATGCTGAAAAGTAGATCTTAAAATTAGTCTTGCCTTCTCAGAACTCACACTTGAAAATATCCATTTAAAAATAAATTATTTAAAGGTCTGATTGTATCTGTGCATGGCAGGATGTAGCTGCTTTCCTATCGCTGTGGAGTGTCCTGTTATTATTGAGTCTGAAAAGAAGTGTGCATAAATCTGTAGTTAATAACGGGTACATTAGGAAAGCTCTTTGTTTGTAAAATGGTGTATTGGGTGATCAGGAAGACCTCATTAAAAGCAGAGGTGCCACAAGAGGGTGCCGTTTCTGTGATTTTCATTGTTACTAAACTCGTACAGTTCTGACAAGTCACTTGGTCTGAAGGGGTCTGAAATTTGAAGGTGTTAAGAAGCAGACAGACATGCCTGTCTCTTGCACTTAACTGTGCCTCTGCATTTTAAACTTGCACCCTGGCTCTCAGAACAAACAGACTCCGATTTGAGAGCAAGCTGTGTACAACAGCAGACTAAAACTGGTAACTGCCTGGTATTCTATCTCCCTTCAGGTCACAAACAAACAGGAAAAGACCACTTCTGGGTGGGTGCATTAATGTCTATAATCCCAATTCTGTGTCTAAAAATGGCCACTTTCAGGAAGATAATGCCCACTTATTGCACTGCTTTAAGCACAGTTTATCTAGTAAACCACAAAGCCCTTATTATTTTTAGACACAGTGAGAACCAAGACAAACATTTTTCAACTAGTTGTCCAGCTAAATATGACACTAAAGATGCTTTGAAACACGAGTTTTCTTCTAGAGGAGCTCATCCATCCTTCTAGGAATAAAAAAAATTGCATGACACTAAAAGTAATCCACGTCTGACAGCACATGGGGATGTCTTCATTCAGACAAAACTCAAATCTTTCTCACAGAAACTGTCTGAAGATTTCATTTAGTTAAGCTAAAAAGACACCTCTTGTGTAACATGACATAAAGTACTTTTTAAAAAATATTTCAGCAATAAAAAGAATTTTTACCTTAAATTCTGTGAGCTAGGTAACTGTATATTTGGAATTTTCTGATCGCAAAAAAGGCGTGAAAAATGTATGTTAGGAATAGTTTGATCTACAGCTTTAAAGCAGATGTATGGACATGGGCTGAGGTGGAAGACTAAAGCCCACCAGAAACGGGAAGTGAAGGAGAAGGTCCAACTGTGAAAGAGTAAGTTTTCTAAAAGAAAATCTATCAATCTTGCACTCAGTACCTTAGATCACTGGTTGATTCACACTCAAATTCAAAGTGTACACTTTGTATTTTAAAGGATGCAAGTTCAGAGCTAGCATGATGCCACTTATACTTTATTTCCAAAGCTATCCATACAATTTTGTATTTTGTATATTGCGTCACCACCACTGCCTTTTTATTCTCACATTTTTTAGCGTGGTGTTCAGTGCATACAGTAAGAGTTCACGGAAGTTCTCATGAAGTCATCGGTGCTCTCGTGAGGTCGGTGAGGTCACAAACTCAGAGGCTGCAACTTGTTGAAAATTTGGCAGTGAGACAGTGGTAGTGTCAGGAACTTCATTATGCATGTTCCTGCTTCTTCTAGAAAAATATATTGTTTCTAGAAAAGCTGTAAATTACTTAGTCTCGTAATAGCAGATGTGCCCATCTCCATGTCTTGACAGAGTAAATACTAAAATTAAGAAAATAAATTATTCTCTGTGACCCTTGGTAGGATTTTCAAAAGCAGGCTCTTACTAGAATGAGAGTTTTGATTTCGTATAGTGAAGGGTTTAAAAAGTTGAAAGTTCTTGAAAATTATACATTTTATGTCTTTCGCAGAGCTCTGGTGAAAAAAACCCAAGAGTAGTAAACCAGCTCTTAATATTGCAGTCCATTTAAGTATAATGAATAATAAGTTGATTTAATAATCAATTTAATAATTAAAATCCCCTTTCATAACCTTGATATCCTCAAGGGAATTTCTATATGTGCCATTGAGAAAATTACTCCACCAATGCCTCACCCTGAAGAATGGCACTCTCAATCTCTAGCACTATTTCAGGGAAAGGTTTTTCTAGACTGACAGTAATGAAGTTCTCTGGTTCACTAGGAGGCTCCAGAGTATCAAATTGAGACTTGAGAAGTTCAGGTGGCATAAAATGACCTCTCCGCTTCTTCAGGCGCTCAGCAATGACGTCTATAGGCCCATCCAAATGAACAAAGAGGATTTTTAGTGGTGGCTTTTCTCGTGGTTGCTCTGGCTCAATTGCAGATGCTCCATTAACTAATACACGCCTATACATCTTCTTCAGTGCAGAACAGGCCAGAACTGCATCTTGTCTAGATAAGTCTTCTCTATCAAAAAGAAAAAAAGCATAAATCTTTACACAGTCACATGTAGTTTAACAAAATGGCTTGTTAGTTCTGCTAAACAAGGTAAACAAGCCCTGGCTCCTCAAAGAGGACAGCCATGGCAGTAATGGCATCTTGACAGTCGTATTTGAGTACTTTTGACAGGATTTTGAAACCAAATTCCAATCTAGGTAAAGATGTGATTTGAAAATGAAGTCAGGCTAGCCAGCCTCCTGGTAAAATCTCAGTCTTCGGTACCTTGTTTATTAGCCACCATTCTTTCCCAAATTAAAGTAAGTTCTAGCACAAGTAAGTGTCAGGATCATTTCTTAATTGCTGAGAACAGGAACTGACTATACATACAAACCCCTATCTGTTACCTATAAATTACTATACTAACCTGTCTAAAGGTAAGTGGCTGAGGGACAGTACACAGCACTGTTATTAAATGCACATGCAGGTTTATTTTCAACACCTACTTTCTCTGTCTCAGATTTAACTGTAATATTTTATTTTATGTTTCCTGTAACCGTCCTCATTGGCAGCACTGCATATATGTCCATTTCAGATTAAACAAGAGATTGGATGCAGGTCAATGCGTGCTTTGCACATGTATTTTTTACTGGCAAGGTTTCTTAAAATAAAGCATTAAACTGTGGGTACGTCTGTTCCACTGAAAAGCAAATCCAGAATTAGTTGTCTCTATGCAGAGTGAGTAAAATGCCTGCCTAAGAAAATACATTCTGCAATCAAAATTAGGTATAAACCTATTTAAAAATCATTCTATGGTCATCAGATTTTGGTTCAAAGGGAAGTAAGAACTTTTAATACTTACCGTTATCACCTAGGTAAGCCATTGCCAGCCTCATCTAGTTACAAGTATTAATAATTAAACTCTGGCATTAGGCTCTTTCAAAATATACTCGATTTTGCAAAGTTTCCGTAGCTGGGCGGTGGCATTGGGCTAGCACGTAACATAAAGCAATGAATCCAAATCAATCCAAATTTCTCAGTGAATTAACCTGTGCTCCAGTGAGGTACACTCACCTAATGTGGACAAGCAACAGCCACTGTGTAAAGCCCAGCTAAACAGTCCCTGCTCTCCCAGCTTTTCCTCATTTGGGAGATGCTCCAGTCCCTTCATCATTTTTGGATACTCTCCAGTATGCCCATGCCTCTCTCATAATGAGGAGCCCAGAACACACAAGGCCAAGTGTGGCCTCAACAGTGAAAAGAAGAGGGGAAGGATCACCTCCCTTGACCTGCTAGCAATACTAGCCCAGGATATCGTTGCCTGCTCTGCCAGAAGAGCACATTGTTGGCATATGTTTGACTTGGGTGTCCACCACAGCTCCCTCAGGCTCTTTGCTGCTGCTTTCCAGCTGAGTGCCCTTCAGTGTCTGTACCAGTGCCTGGGCTTGTTCCTCTCCAGGGGCAGGACTTGTCCTGCTTAAAATGTATGAGGTTCCTGCCAGCCCATTTCTACAGCCTTTCAAGGTCCCTTTGCATCAGTTACTCCTCCCATTTTGGTGTCATCTGCAAATTTGCAGAGTATACTCCAGCAAACTCAAGCAGTGTCAAAAAAGCTCAATACTGTATCTTACTAAAAATAGCTGTATTTTATTCTACTGTTATTACCAGTGTATTTTGTAATTATGTTATTTGTAAGTAGCTAAAGCCAGGCTTATGAATGAACTGGATCCTTGAAATTATTTTTACCCAGATAGTAGAAAAACAACTATCATTGGCAACAATTTTGCACACTATTACTCAGGGATTAGCTCACCCTCAGCAATTCTTATGACAGTTTAGATTAGTCAAAATAGAATGACTTCACTATCTGCAGAATGTCTTTACACTACTACATGCATTTCTGCTTTGGAATGCAATGGGGAAAAACACTTCTCGTACTTTTTCTGTCTTTAGCTAAAACTTTTTAAACCTAGATATTCTCTTACCTCCTTAGTATATTGTGCAATGTACAAAGCCAAGGAATCCTGTCCTAGAAAGAAAACAAGTTAGTTCAAAATTCTTTATGAAATTAATATGAAGTGATTGCTTCTAACATCTTGAACATTTGACTAGAGATGCAAATTAGCATTAAACTGTACAGCAAGTTGAGTTTTGAATGTCTTTCTTCCTATGTAGATTTGCTACCACTGCCTAAAGGCTAATAATGGAAGTTAATATGTATTCAAGCATAGCATGCACCTTGCAAACCTCTAAAGGACAGTCAACTTCTCTCTTGCTTCTATTATACAATTCAAATGTACAGCTTAAATTGTTATTTCTTTTCCCTTATATAGTGTCATAAACCCCCTACCCCCCCTCCCATTTTGGACCAAAGTTGAGGTTTTCAGGAACAGACAGATCTAAATTTAATTATCTGCAATAACTTAGTTCCATTTATGTTGGTAGCAATCACAAATAAATGTAATCATAGCCACAATTTTTCAACACTTTTGCTCAGTAGTTAGGCAATCACAATGTGAGTGATTGATCAGCTGTTTCTTTGAACTGAAATTTTAAGCTTCCACAAACTTTTGTCATGCTTAATGAGCACAAAACAACTGCTCCCATTTAATCTTTCAGTGCTGTTATTACTGGGTGAGCACAACAAATGATAACGTGGACAAATAAATGAAACAATATTTTGTTGCTGACATAACAGAGTAACTTATGCCTGGCATTCAAGAAGGCCCTCACAATTTTGCACCTCTGTTTTTTCAGAAGAGATGCTTCCCTCTTGCTGAGCAGCACACACCAATGGTTTACTCATTCAAGTGTGCAATGCTGCTTCAGACAACATACTGGCTTCCAAACACCAGTGAAAGAATGAAGCTTTTAAAAGAATCTAGAGAGCTTTTTTTCAGATAAATCCAGCCAGTTTTTAACCCAGCAAACAGCACACCCACCCAAGACATGGGAAGCCAGTTTCTCCAGGAGGATGCTTGGGAAATGGTATCAGAGGCTTTACTAAAATCCAGGTAGACAATACTCACAACCTTTCTCTCCCCCATCTACTAGGTGGGTCACAGAAGGAAATCAGGTTGCTCAAGCAGGACCTGCCTTTCCTAAACCCATGCTGGCTGGATCTGAACATCCAATTGTCCCACATATGTCCTGTGATTGCACTCAAGATAATCTGTTCCACAACCTTACCCAACACTGAGGCCAGACTTACAGGCCTGCCAACTCCCTAGATCCTCCTTCTGGCCCTTCTTTCAGCTGGGCATCACATTAGCTAACCTTCAATCATCTGGGACCTCCCCAGTCAACCAGGAGTGGTGATAAATGGTGGAAAGTGACTTGAGAGAAGGGTAACAAATTTACAGAGTTGTGCAGGGCCAGGAACTCTATGATTCTTGTGGTCCCTTCCTACTAAGGATATTCCAAGATTCTATGATTCTAATCCACAAATGCATCTCTGTGTATGGATGTAGAGGGAGAGATTTCTGACAAATTCTGAAACAGCAGCATACCCCTTGTGATCTGCCAAGCATGCTTTGATAAACTACTTGTTCAGCCAGAATCTTTTGTAAGACAAGAAGCCTTACCAAATACAGACCTGTGCTTATCAGACCAGTCTACATAGTAAAAGCACAATCTACTTTAACAGGACGTGTACACGGTTACAGAGAGAAACGTGTGGATAACAGTCCTTACAGGGTTTATACAAGGTACCTCATCATTTAGTGGTATCCTTCCTGCCATTTTCTTTTTATTCTCTGGAGGATGATAATCGTCTGCATCATAGAATTTCCATCCCAGCTAAGAAAAAAAAAAATACATTATGGGTCGTTCAGCCATATCAGGTGAGATAATAACGATCACAGAATTCACGAAGACGACACTTAAGAAATTACAGGCTTCCTACATCACAGTGTGAATCATCGTTTATGCCATGATGATTAGCAAAACAATACTAAGTCGGCTTGGTAGCAGCAACAGCTGTTGCATCACGGCATTGAACAGCAGTCGGTGCAGGCGACCCCGCGCCGGTGAGCGCCACCCAAGCCCGCTTAGGGAGCGGCAGCCCGGGCGGAGGCGGGCCGGGAGGTCCCGCCCGGCGCAGGGCGGTGCCGCCCGCCCAGACCTGCCCCCGCGGAGGGCGGCCCACGCTCGGAGGTGAGTGGTCCTACCTTGGCAGCCAGGTGGGACCCCACTGTGGTCCTGCGGGGAAGCACAAAGGGCCGGTTACACATCCCCGCCGTGAGCTGCGCACCCCCCGCACCCGCACCGCAGCCGCAGCCGCACGGGCGGGCTCCAGCAGCGCCCAGCCCCGGCCGGGGCATCCGCCGCTCTCCCCGCCGCCTGCCTGCTACCTACTTTCCCGAGCCGCTCACGCCCATCACCACCACCAGCACCATGGCGGCTTCGGCCCGCTCTGCCGCAGCTCCTCCGCTCTCCCGTGCCGCCGCCCCGGCCTGCCCTCGGCCTCGGCCCCGGCCCCGGCCCCGGCGGGAGGCGGCTGCGGGCCCGCCCCGGCGCGGCTGTCGGGGGAGCGGCCAAAGTACCTCCTCCTGCCCTGGCACAGGCGCCCCGTGTGGCTGCCCGGGACCGTAATCCTGCCCCTTTCCTTGGGAACGCGCGACACGCTTGTCGTGTGCCCCACTTTTATTCTCCGCAGTCGAACCTTGTGGAGAAGTTACCTGATCATCTCCTGTCTAAGGCGTTGTCTAAGGCTTCTCTCTGTTCTCTCTGTTTCCTGCCCAGCGATCCCCAGCACGGCATTCACCGTTTGCCCCTCAGCAACACACGCGAATTTAATAGAAATAGTAATTTCTGCCGTCTGTGTTAAAGCGTGGTTGTTGATTGCTGTTCTACCTTCTGCTCATAAAGGGTCTGCATTTAAACTTTAATTAAGGTATCAGCCGTGCCGTGGCTAACTCTGTTTTAGTATTGCTTTAAGAATTGCTCCAGTCGTACTTTTAAATCACAGGGTCACAGGATGGTAAGGCTGGAAGTGACCCCAGTGGCATTATCTACTCCAGCCCCATGGCTCAAGCACATTAGGATTCTGTCCAGGTGGCTTTTGAATATCTCCAGTGAGGGAGACTGCACCACTGCCCAGTCACCTTCACAGTAAGGAAGTCCTTCCTTATGTTCAGTTGGAACTTCCTGTGTTTCAGTTTCTGCCTATTGCCTGTTGCTTAGCACCGCTGAGCAGAACCTGGCTCTGTCCCCTTGACACCTTCCCTTCAGATACTTGTGTACATTGATTAGGTTACTCTCTCAGTTGTCTCTTTTCCAGGTTAAACAGACCCAGTTTCTCAACCTTTTCTCGTAAGAGAGTTGTTCCAGTCCCTTAATCACCTTCATAGCCCTTTACTGGGCTCTGTCCAGGAGCTCCATGACGCTCTTGTACTGAGGAGCACAGAACTGTACACAGCATTCCAGGTGAGGTCTCATCAGGGCTGAGGAGAGGGGCAGAATTGTGGAAGTTTGTGGAAATTGTGGAAATGCTCATAGATACCAAGTGTTCTTGCTATTATCATGTACATATATATGACTTAGCAACATTTTTAAAGCTCTTCCAGGATCCAGTGCAGTGGTGCTGCTGACCAGTGCTGAAGTTTTACCGCAAAATGGAGCAACATTTGCAGGCCTATGAGAGCTGTTCTGGCTTCAGTGGCTTCAGGAGAGCACATGTGCTCCTTTCGTATTTTTTAATATGAATCAAACAAGAAAGTACATTAAGTCTCCCAGTCTGCATGAAATTTTCTCTTGCATGGCATTTCAAATAACATTATGAATGACGAATGCCTTGCTTTTTTTTTTTTCCCCTTTTTTTTATTTTTTAAACTGTTATCAGTCTCTATGTAATTGGCATTTGAAACTGGCTGTATTTCACATGCCTATTAAATTCTTAACAAAGACCAGAACCTTCAAAGTTATTAGGCTATTACTGAAACAGGCCAGTCCTCAAATTACTAACAGACCACAATGATTCCCGTAAGGTGCCCTGTGAACAAATATGTATTTTGCTGTAATACTCATATGATTGCGCTAAAGTAATTGAATTTGCATGAATATTTTCCATTTTTTGGCTGATTAGTTGTGAGGCAGGGAAAAAATGCTTCATTCAGATAAGAGTTCTTAGGAGGTCCAAATGAACAAACCCAAAAATACCAGTGGTCACTTTGACCCTGGAAAGATTATCACAATTACTACTACTCTGGTTTCCAGAATTAAAACTTTAACTGCTCCATCACAACAATCCTTGAGATTTTGCTAACATGAAGAGCAATGGGCTACCCCACCTACAATGCACACCTGACCACTTTTGTAACCAGATTATCACGATTTTATCCATCTTAATTACTACAAAGCAGGGAAAACATACTTCTCTATTTGACAGGGTTTTTTCACAATGCATATATTTGAGTTTTGGAAAAAGCCATGTCAGACTGGTGTGATGTCATCTAATAACTATTTTTTATCTGTCTATTTGCAGGAGGTCTTGCCAGGAGTTCTCTTCTACTCAGTCCCAGGCTAAGAAACCATGAGGATGCACTACCAGAGCTGTACAGGTAGCAGTGCACTTTGCAGATGCTGCTGCAGGGAGAAGAAAAAGATCTGGAGAAAACTAATTGAATTGCACAAACACAGGAGCCTATAGGCAATGTGAAGAAGACATTACATTCAGACTTCCTGCTGGTGTGATTCATGTGACTTGTGCAGATATAATTCATGTTAGTAGTCAACTGGAGACATGACTGGATAAAACTCAGCCAAATGGTTGACTCAATGTCATCACATTGTGTATGCATCAGTATCCACTTAAGATGTGTTTAATTAAGTTGTAGATCCAGTTAAATATCTGGATCCTTTTTGTTTGAGTTGAATGAGGATTTCCCTTCCAGTCTGTCCTAGTCACAGACGAAAAAAATAGTTTTCCACTTGTTATTTCTTTAATAACATAGAGGAGTTTCATATTAGTCTTTATCACTTAATGATGTATATACATCTTGGGAAATGTATTCTGATGCTGCTGTTTCTTTGAAGAAGATTTGCCGTAGGTGGCATGGGTGATTTTCCATAGCATTTAAAATTAATTTTTTTTCCTAATGTTGTCAGAATATATAACTTGATTCTGAAGCTCTGATATAGTTATATAAAAAACCCTGTACGGTTTCATCAACTCCAGAATATATTCACATAGCTGAAATAGGAGACAATGGAATGTAAATGTCTTCTGATATTTATTATACTTAATAATAGGTGAAATTAAAATACAATGGTGAATGATGAGCATTCCAGAATTAAAAGGCAAATAAACTCAAGAATACCTTCCAGAAAACCCATTAAATACTTCTAAGTCCCTAAAGAATTTTCCAGATACCATATTTTAAATACTTTTAAAAATGGAATTTGGTATATTTTATGGCTTTTTGGGAGTATTTGCAGTGTCTTTCTGAGACTCTGGTTTGACTAATTGACTAATACCGAATTTATGGAATTCAGTAAAACTTTATCATCTGCTTAATTTAGCTGCCTAATTTTAGAGAAGGGTACCATAAAATACAAATGAAAGAGTTCTGCTTTCCTGGAGTTACTTCCTTTACTGTATCTACCTACTTCTCAAGAATACTAGGAAAGGTCTATTGTATTCAGCATATTGCCAAATTCAAAGTAGAAAAAACACAATCCTATGGTAATTCCTAATGGAAACTTATCACAGCATAATGGTGAACTACTGTAGAAGTGCACAGGCCTCTTAAAGCTTGCCAGGAACATCCATCATCATGGACATCCACTTTTTATAAAAGTGAGGGCTTACATACATTGGGTAATCTGAACTTTCTGAATCCTAAGGAGAGAAGGACTGTTTTGCAAGCAGCTAAATTTATGTAGACATTTAAGGGCTCAAATTCTGAGAATGTAGTGATAGTAAATACAAAGTAGAGAGTGTTAATAATGTGTTCACTGTGAGAAGAGTAGCTGAAGTAACCTGTACTACGATGTTCTGATGGCCACAGTTAGTCCTCATTTTTAAGTAAATAATCATCAAATTATGTCTGTGTTGATCAAAACTGTACCAAAAATTTTCAGAATTTGTTCTATGCGTTGCAGAGTCAATACATCATCCAAAGTCCTTTCCTTTGGATTCTACAGTAGATATTTGGGGTTTCATGAGAACTTAGTTCATACTAGCTCTCAGGATGCAACAAGATTTGCCAGTACTGAGAAGAAAATCACCAGTTTGATAAATCTGTCAAACTTTTAGACACCTGAGATCAGTAAATCGAACTAAAGTTGTTAAACATTTTAAAAATTGCATTAAGTATTTGTATGTAATACCTCATCCCATTTTTTTCATGCTGAAGTGCAGACCCTTAAGGTACGATGCTCTTGAAATAAAAAATGAGCACTGTAAATAACTCTTCTTATTTTCTCAGTTTGTGGTACAAGAAAACCAGGTAACAGTGAATAGGAGTAACTTGACGTTGCTGCTTCTAAGTGATACAGGTGTGTTATCAGCTTAATTGCAAAGCTGAAGGAATGACAGAATTATCTGAGACTAGCTAGAAGCAAAAAAAGAATGCAGTACTTCGTACCATACTATAATCTGAACATGTCCTAGCTCACTAATTTCTGTACAGGGAAGTTTAAGAAAACATTTATCTAAAAGTTAAATACACATAACTCTAAACACAAAAGTTATTATTAACTGATTTAAATTTTTCTAGCAACAACAAAGGAAATTCTATAACCTGCTTATGCAATGGCTGGTTGACTCAGTTTCAAAAAATTAACATAGGTAAGAAGTGGAAGATTAGTTAGTTTTTTTATTCCTTAGTTATTTTTCTTCCTTAGTTCCTAACTTACTAGTTAGTTTTGGTTATTCCTTAGGTTTTGAAAACATCTTCATTTTATGAACTGTACTTTATCAGTGTAATCTAAAGTAAATCTTTCAATATCAACTCCAGGTTTGCACAATAGTCTTACCAAATTTAATTGTGTATAAGAAATCAAAGTATGTTTTACCATATAAAAATTTCTCCATGTGATGTGAACAAAATCAGTGCACTAACATAAATACTTCAGAAAAGTGCTCAACAAATCAAAATCTGTCTGAAATGCTGGGTGAGAATAAAAGTTGCTTCTCCAGGATTGTTACTTGGAAAGATTCTGGCCTCCCCTGGAAGTACTGGTTTTGCAAAGATTTCTTATTTTATCGTCTTATCTTGTATTTGTCTCTAAAGACCCAGGATGTAAAAGTTATGTACTCCACATTTCAACATTACTTACAATAGCAACAGTATGCATTGATGTAGAACCATCACTTTGAAAGCACTCAAAGCATTAATAAGATGTAGCCATCCACTGACTTTGGGAAGTGGCAGGGAGAATATGTATCTTAAAATGGTGCTTCTACTAGTAAGTAATAAGATTAGGATTTCTGAGCAGTTATTAATAAAGGCTTTTGAAGTATGCTTTCTTAGTGTCTCTGATGGCTTTTTTCCATTTATTTAGTCCACATCTCTTCCCCGGGTAGCTAAGCCTCCATTCTGCAATCACTTACAAGCATACTTAACTCTTGCACCACAGAGCCTCTAATGTGCAAGGAAGTTCAACAACAAAGATAATTACAACTTCAAATCCTGTCTGTATTAGCTTTTACATAATTAAGAGAACCAGATCAATGAAAAGCAACAGTCCTTACAGTAATTTGGAAAGGAATTAATGACAAAAACCAGAACATACAAAGAGAGCTGTATCAGAAACTGAATATTGTTGCATATTATTATTTAAAAATCATGGTGGTAATTACTTTAATAACAGACTCTGGATAGCAATTAGATGCCAGCAAGATTACCAAACTTGAAATACTTGTTGTATGTGATACACATTTTTCCTGTACTACTTAAGTTGTTCACAAAATGTACTAGGAACCTGACACAACTTGTGCAAAGCAGAAGTTTTATTTGCTGGACTTTACCTTGATTAATGCAAATTTGACATGATGTTAAATGTGATTCCTCACGTAGACCCCAGCTTTGATGATCAGTCCTGGTTGGAAAAGTGCTTTGGACACGCTTGAAGTTAGACAACTACCTCTACAAGCAAAGGATGTAAAATTCAAATTGTATGATGGGAGTATTAAAAATCAGAATAACCCCAAAAGAAGAAAAAGAATTATAAAACCAGCCAAAACTGGTCTAAGCACTTTGAGCTGTTTCAAAGTGCATGTGCAGCAGCCATGGAAACAGGATGTTACTGCAGGAGAATTCTACCCATGAACATCCAAATTCCACCCTGTAATAAGATCAGTATAAAAGAACACAAAAAAGGTTAGTAGTGGGGACTGTTTCTCTGTGCACTCACTTAGCAAAACTTTTGGGATGCTGAGAGCTCTTCAAAGCCTAGCTCTGAATATTTTGCTAATATAGTTGTATATTTTATGATGACTGTTAATGTCCCAGTAATGATCAAAAATTTACTCCTCCATGCAATAATATAGTTGTAAAAATGTGATTGTTTGGTGCAACATTAGATTGTAATTTGATTTACAGTCTTACTAAACATTCCTTTAGGTAAATTCTATAAAAAAAGAACTGTTCAAGCTACAGGTCGGCAATACCTCTTTTCTGTGATTATCAATGCTACCAGCAAACATACCTCTACCTACTTAAAAAATGAACTTTTTAGTTGGTCAGATGTGCATTGCTATGTTTTTTGTCTATGCACAGTCAGGAGAACAGAGGTCCAATCTTCAGCTTGTTAAGGAGATAGAGAGTAACTTTTTTTGGATTATTAAATCATGGTGTGGGAATTTTTTTTTCATCTGAGGAAAACATATGAATGAGGAAAATATAGACTGAGGAGACATATGAATGTGGCAGCCACTCTGCATTCAGCATGAGATAATCAGGCTCCTGCAGGTACTGAATTAACTGTAGACACATGAAACCACTGGTTGTGGCGCACGCAAAACCTGTAAATCTTTCAGCAGTAGTAGCCGCAGGGTTTCTCCGAGGCTGTTGGCAAGCCTGGAAAAGTATTGGATAGATTGTGTGAAAACAGCTAGAGAGAACCAGTAGTGAAAGAAGTTTTTGAGAATAGTAAGAAAAGACAGCATGGGAAACTGAGAGAGTAGTTTTTCTGACAATGGTATTAGAACAATGGGACTGGCAATATATTCCCTGAAAAGAGTGTACAAAAGAAACCTTTTGATCCCTACTGATAAGAAAATTTTGGGAAGTCTTAGGACTCAATGAACCATGATAATCATCTCACTGACTTCACCCTCTGAACCAAAGGCTGGGACCTGACATTTGCCTTCATGGTAATTGTCTTGTGTGGATTAAAATCAATGTAAAATTTGGTCCAGTAGGCAAATTTCAAGTGTGGTGTTGTGCAATCCACTTTAACTTAGGCAAATGATCATTGGTGTTTGAGCTTCCAGATGACATCTGCAGGAAATTTGCTGAGAAGTTTGTACAGTAAATTCAACCCATCATTCTTGCTGGAAGGGTATATTGTAATGTTCTTCCCATACTTTCTTCTGAGGCTTTGTAGAGATTACTAAACTTTATTAGTGTAAGAAAATGCCTACTTCTGACTTGCTAATTCTCCCCCTATGAGCCATGGATATGGCTCACAACTACAGATAAGGAATGGGGAGGCCACAGGACTGTCAGTACCATGCAAGCTGTCATACTGCACTACAGATTTTAGTAGGACTTTAGGTCTTTTTTACAGGGGTAATTGTGGCCAAATATATCACTGATAACCCTGCAATTTTTAGTGGATTTGGAGTGACAGCTTGTTTAGCTCTCTTTGGAGTACAAACATCCCAAGTCTTTTGGTACTGCTGTCAAATAATGTAATATTTTGCCTATCTTGTTGCCTTCTCATTCATGCAATAATGATTTTATACTGTTTTTGTAATGTGAAAGAGAGTAGAAACCCTGTGTGAATTCAAATTTCAGGTTCTGACTCAACTCTGCCCTCAGTGAACAATACAACTTTTGCTATTTAAATGTTTTTCTTTGTAATTTATGTATATTTTATTACTCTTACAGTTTGTTAGATATATGCATTAATATTTTATATACAGTTTTCAAGTTACTGGTATAATATTTAGATGTGGGAGACCTTTTATTTCAAGATGCAACCCTATGTTTGTTTGTTTGTTTAATAATTGTTTTAATATAAAGTGATTTTTTTAATCATTACTTAAGATTGAAACAAAAAGATCATGTAGATGTCGAATCTGTTGTTTTTTAGTTTTCATATTTTGAGTGCTGCCCAGTATGCCCAGGTCTTCAATTAGCTCATTGCTAATTTCAGCTTGGTGCTAGATATATTTTGCAATAACACAATATGTGTCTCAAAGGCAATTCCATTGAAGATAACAAAAGATAACAAAAGTTTGGGGCCTTGGTATGAACAAGTTGTTTGCCTTGTGAGCTGGATCCTTCGGAAATCATCCAAACTTTCTGCTTTGTAGCAAGATCTCTAGAATACTTGGGAAGCTAGCTTTTCTGTGGAGTTTGTGACCTTGACAGCAAAACTTACATTTTCCTGGCTACAGAAAACTACTCTCTGAACTTTTGGTTCATTGCTAGCTCAATATCCAGCTCAACTCACCTTCCACTGTTCCAGATAAGCTCCGGAGAAGTGTAATATCCAGATCATCTGTCTTCAGTTAAAATATTTTAAAGCTGGAGTTCCTAATCCTACTGTATAAGGGAACTAGGTCAAATCTAAATTGTCCTAGACTTCATAAATTTTAATGAAGGCACGGTTTACTTATGGCACCATCATCTGTGAGCAACAGCCAATTGCTGTGCGTGCTATATGAGCTGGCTGTGAGACCCTTGCAAGGGGCCTGAGCCAAAGGCAATGGGTTAGGTGTGGGCCTTGGGGAAGAAGGGTAGTGTGCCATGCAGGGCACCCCTGCGGTGACAGTGAGTTGTGTCTCTTGCATGCCTATGCTGCAACTCCAGGTCTAACCAAAGGCAGGCAGTGTTTATAGCTGCAGCAATTGTATTTATGGATTAATCTTTGAGTATTTGGGGGAAAAAAAACAACCAACAAACCCAAACCCAAACCAAACCACTTGTCTATATATTTGATTACATTATAAACATTAATTGAAAGAGTTAAAGTTGCTGTGATTATCAGTCATTTTTGAAGGGAAAATCTTTGACTGTTATATTCTGTAATTTAGCTCCCTAAAGAATCATCCATAAATCAAAGTACTGCTCAAGATCATAAGTGTTCCCAGTTGTCTCAAACATAACTTTTTGTATCTGTCAGCAATTCAAAGGTAAATAGGAAGTATAAGTTACTGTCCCTTGGGCCATCCACATGAACTCATCTCAAAGCAAATTCAGTGACCGATTAGATGAACAAGAATGGGAATGTGGCTATTGCATGGAGTGGTGACAGTTCTGACACAGAAATCTGTTATTTTTCTCACAGAGTTCTCAGGCAGTTCTTCAGGTCAACATGGTATAAGGTATTAAAGAAACAAATAGTGGCAAAATGACATGAGTGATCTGTCTTTCAAACAGGCAAGTAAGGTTCTGCTGAGCTTTGTGCTCCTGCAACTTTGCTGCTGTCAGTACAAACTAGTTCACACTGGTTGTGCAACACTTTGAAGATGCAGGTTTTGTATTATAGTCCTCACTGTTTATGTAACTCTGAGAACTCCTGGGAAACCCATCCCTCTTCATGTGGTCCTGACAGTAAAGCAAAAAAAACAAACAAACCAACCCTTCAACAGTGGTAAATTTTCACCTGCTCCCTAAATCTTCATCATTGTCTTAGTTCCCTCTTACAGTTCCCCTTTTGGATGGAGAAAGGTGTGCTGCAGGGACTGAAGGGAAAGCTAAAGTATCTGGTTTAGAAGGAAAAGATTCCCTCTCTACCAGAAGAAAGAAAATCTGTGTCACCTGAGAGTCAATCCGCATGTGGGCTGAAATCCTGCTACTGAGTTCCCATGATGTATGACTGTAAGACAAAAAATGTTATTTTATTATTAATGAGTGGGTGTCCACAACTAACTGGTGTCTCAACTGATAAGGACCTTCTTCCATACCTTGTGGGCTGACTGCAGCTGTTGAGGTGAATAATCTCTTTTAAATACTCACTGGTTTCCTTCACTATTCACTATGCAATTGGAAGCATTTATAATTTACGAGAAGCATATGCTTATAGCTTTTCTTTTATGTTTCACATTAAAGGGCTTTGCATATTTATTAGCTGATGGTAATATGAGGTTTATATACTTCTCATTTGTTTGGGGTTGTCTGTATTTCCTGCTGCTAGCAGAACAGGAGAAAACCAAATGAAGAATTTACAAGGTAGTAGCACTTTGGCTTTTACATGGGATTTTCAAAAAACCAATACATTCACATAGAACTATTTTCAAAATACAAACATTTACAAGTGATCGTGGACATCTAGGCAAAATAACTGAAATACACCTTCTGTCTGGCTGTCGGTGCATCTCTTCTCTTTGTAAACTTCCAGTTACATCCCATTTTGCACTGGCTGTTTTTCATTTCACACTGCAAAGGGAAGTGCTCCTTTTTTAACACAATGGTGGTCCATGTTTCAAGGCTGGTTAATGTTGGTGCTTGTTTACTGCAAGGTTTTGCTCTAATGTAATAGCATTTTGTGATAGAGGACATAATAGTAAAGGCACTGGATGCTGTATTTTCTTTCCCACTTAGACAATAAATGGGATGAGACTGCTGTTCCCTAATGGGCCATTTTTTTCCCCTGAGGAAACAATTTTCTGAGGCTTGTACTCTTACATTAAGTTGCATTATATTTTCTTCTTTATCATAAGTGTACACTTATCGTTGGTGAGATTTTTTTATCTAACTATACATATATGTATTTCACAGGGTTCTCCTTCTGCCTCGGACTGTGTTGGGATAACTTGGAGACTCACTTTCTGGGCGGGCAGGCAGCGTGGGGACTCCCCTCTCCGCCAGCAGCCTGGGGGATGTCCCCCCTTAGCAGGGCACCGGGCATTCCCACGGGAGCACCAGCCGTTCAGGTGCACTCAAACCAGGCGCAGCACGCCCGTAGCGGGGAAGGCAGACAACCGCGCTGCCCGTGTCCCTCCCGGCGGTGCCAGCCCCACGGAACGGAGCCCCTCAGAGCACCCAGCCGGGGCCGGTGGGGAGGAGAAGCGGGAGGAGCAGGTGAGGGCGGAGAGGTGTCCCCGCGGGCCATGCCGTGCCGTGCCGTGCCATGCCGGAGGCGGGCGCAGGAGGAGGCTGAGGCCGGCCAGCCGAGCGCATCCTGACGCAGCGGCGGCCGAGCCGCGGCGGGCGGGCGGGCGGATGGCGGGCGGCGGCGGGGAGCCGCGGGGCTGAGGGGCGGCGCTGCCGCCGCTCTGTGCCGTGCCGTGCCGTGCCGCTCCGTGCCGTGCCGTGCCGTGTCGCGCCGAGCCGTGCCGTGGTCGGCCGGGCGCCGCTGCAGGCTGGCCCCCTGCGGCTGCCTGCGGGGCGGCGGCGGACGGACTGCCGGGATGATCCGGTTTCGGAGCTCAAGCATCAGGTCGCTGAGCGCGGAGATGAAATGCACCGTGCGGCTGCTGGACGACTCCGAGATCTCCTGCCACATCCAGGTGCCAGCGCGGAAAGGGGCGGTGGCGGCGGGGCGGCTCAGCGGGCGGTGGCTCCCCGGTCGCAGGGCCCGGGCGGTGGCTCTGCTGGGCTCGGCTCTCCTCGGCGCGGCTGCGGCGGGAGCTCTGCTCCCCGCACTCCCCGTTCTCGGCTCGGAGCTCCGCGCACCTGCGGCACGGGCAGACACGGCTGCTCCGGCGCTACGCCACAGCCTGCACTGCACGGCGGAGAGCCCTCCCGGCCGCCGCTGCTGCCGCGGGATCCACCGCGCTCCGGCAGCCCCGGCGCGGCGTCCCCGCGAGCGGGAGGAGCCCTCTGGGTTGCGATGGCCCGGGAGAAGAGGGAGATGCCGACACTGCCTTCCCTGTCCCGCGGGACGGTAGCGGAGCGCCCCGGTGGGCACCGCTTGCTGCGGAGACGGTGTGAGGCAGGACCTGCTTTGCCACGCCGGGAAAACCCTGGCTTGGGAGCAAGGCCCGCGGCGGGCGATGTCAGGAATAGCAGTTACCGAGATAGCGGGCAGGGTTCAAAATGAAGCGCTGTTCCCTCTTCCTCTTCATTTAAGGCAAAAGATAACTTACGGAGGGATTTTCAATGGTGGTAGTTGTGCACTTGGAAAAAAAGCAACTTCTCTGTAGTCTCCCTCTTTCTAATAACTCAAGTGTTATTCCTTCAAGTAATAAAGATAAGGGTGCAAGGAGAAGTCTTTGAATTTCTGGTGAGCAGCAATATTTGTAGCATGTGAAAGCAGGGGTATTTCAGCTGTCCTCACAAGAACCGTAACTCTGGCACATTATGGAAATCATACAGATTCTTAAATTGCAAGTGTTAAAATAAAATTACCCTCTGAAATTTCCATGGCATTCGTAGAATCACAGAGATTAACTTAGTATCCAAATCGGATAGTGAGTAGCCTTTTAGGAAGTAGTTTATCATTCACAGTTGGTCTTTCTGTCTCTCTGGTAGTATGAAATTGGCACAAATTTAAATCAAGTTAATGATCTTGTACCGTTATGGCTTTAAAAAATCAAATGCCGTGACGTGCAAGCTACATTTTCACTTGGACCAAATTATGGGTTTTGTTTGTTTCAATTGAGCTATTTAATACTAGACTAGAGTAGGAAAGTTCCAGTTAAAAGAGACCTACAACAATCAGCTTAGTCCAACTGCCTGAGTGCTCCAGGGCTGACCAAAATCAAAGCCCATTACTAAGGGCATTGTCCAAATGTCCTGGCAGGCATTTGTGCCAAAAGGCACTGGCAGGTTTGCGGCATGGACTCCATGAAGCCTGGTCCACTGTTTAACCACGCTCTTGGTAAAGAAATGTTTCCTAATGTCCAATTTGAACCTCTCTGATGCCTTTTTTGGACCATTCCCACATCTCCAGTCACTGTATCCCAAGGAGAAGAGATCAGCACATACCTCTCCACATCATTCCTCAGGAAGTTGTACAGAATAATGAGGTCACCCCCAGACCCTTCTCTCAAACCAGACAAGCCCAGGGTCCTCAGCTGCTCCTCACAGGACATGCCTTCCAGCTCTTCCACCAGTGTTGCTGCCCTCCTGTGGACCATTCAAGGACCTTCATGTCCTTCTCAAACTGTGGGGGGCCCAGCACTGCACACAGGACTCAGGGTGAGGCCGCACCACGGCTGAGTACAGCGGGATGATCCACTTTTGGCAGCTGATGTTGCTGTGTCTGATGCAGCCCAGGATGGGGTTTGCCCTCCTGGCTGCCCGGGCACACTGCTGATTCACACTGAGCTGCTGCCCACCAGCACCCCCACAGCCTTCTGTAGGGCTACCCTCCAACAAATCCTCTTCCAGTCTGTAGCTGCATACCAGTTACTCCCAAACAGCATGTAGCCTGGAAGTAACAGCAAGTTACTGAAAACGCCTTGTACCTGTATCATTCTAGTGCTCTTCTAAATGGTTAGAGATTATAGCTTTAATGGGTAGAAAGCAGCATGGCCTTCAGAGTCTTTTCTTGGAGCTTAATGCAAGCTTTGCATAACTTATTTGGCATCTTTAAAAGTTAGTCTTTTTAAACAAGGATGAATTTAAGGCCATAATCTGAGATGGTGTCTCTAAAGCTCTTTAGATTTGTAGCATTTGGCAGATTTACTTGTGTTAAGAGTATGCCCTTCAGTGCCCACAGGGTAGAAAAAAAGAGTTATTACTTCAGGTGTTATGTTGTGCAAGGTGAGGTAATGAGCTCAGAACCAGTTGTATCATATTGCATTGTTGTGCCTCATTCTGCATGTAATGCAAGCAGGGAAAAGTCACAGTTGAACATGTTTTAACTACTGCAGTTCTAAGGGTAATTCTGAAGATTGAGTTCTGTTACCATCTCATTTAGAACTTTTTTTCCTAAGTTTGCACACTGGTAAAAATATTTAAAAGGTGGGAATGGCTCCGCTTGGTTCCCCCCCCTGCACTCCTGGAGGATTTTAGGTACTGAAATTCTAAATATGTAAATGCAGAAACTAGTATGAAGAACTACTTTGCTCTTGGTCACTTCATCAGAAAGGTGCAATTAATATTTACTAATTCTGATTTACCTGTCACTCTTTCCTGAGCCACACACTTCAAACTGCTTAATCCTATTTGTAAGGTATCTACCCCTTACCTATCACTGTATAGATAGAAGAGATACAATCTGGCTGTATAATTTATTTATACTCCTGTATCTGCATAGCTATTAAGACACTAGACTCGCGAAGCCCAAACCACTCAACTTTTTGTCTGTAGCCTCTCTATTGGACCTATATTTGAACTTCATAGTGTGGACAAAACTTACTAGGAGCTTTAGCAATTTTTTTTTTTAACAAACAAACAAACAAGCAAACAAGCAAACAAACAAAAACACAACCAAAAAAACCCTGGTTGCAAGTTACTTCTACATATGCATATCAGTGCATATTCAGTTGGACAAAATATCCCAGATGATGTGCTGCTGGACTAATAGCAGAGATACCAGGGTTGTGCCAACTGGAACATGTTGGACAGCTATGTTTTGGTCATTAAAGGGATAAGAAAGCCTAATTCTACAACACTGAGAAATGCCAGCAGAGTCTCTTAGGGACACAGGATGCAGAAAGGAACTGTGATGACTGAAATTCTTGCTGTGCATTTTCAGGAATAAGGGAGGGGAGATATATGACTGGTCTGGATAGTGAGGTGTGTAGCTGATGATTTGTTGCAGTTTAGCACACTAAGTTTTACCTTTTTTTCAAGTTTATCTTTCCAGCAGCTGGCTTGGACATGTGGACTACTATCAGAGGACCTGGGTACCACTTCAGTGCAGAGATGTGTGTTAATTTTCAGATGCACTGTAGACCTTTGACTCTACAAAATATGCAACCAGCACAGTGTGTTACTCAGTTAAAACATTTAGGAAAAGTAAGCAAGAGCAGATATATTTAGATGCTGAATATATATATATATATATATATATATATATATATATAAACAAACTATATATATGTGTGTGTGTATTTTTTTTCTTCTTGCATAATTTCACAGTGTTTAGGTAGAACAAGAAAATACATTTTTCCTTTTACTATTTAAGTTCTTTCAAAACAGTGTTTCACCAAGCCAACATGATAATAAAGCATGCTTTCAGAAATTATGTTTTTTAACAGGCTGTCTAGTGACAGCATACAGAGTGGTGTGGGGAGAATCAGAAATGAATTGTGCATTTGCAGATTCCAGCCAACTAGTTATCGAGTCGTGCAGCTGCCATGTAGGTCATCAAGTTGCTCAAGGCTAGGTTTGCAGCTCAAGGGTCAAGATTCAATGTGTTGTCCTTCCCATCTGAGCGACTGTATGACTGCAAATTAGCTGAAGTGGTGACAGAAACAAGAAAGGGCTGGGACCCAAGGAACACTTAACTAATTCTTGTGATGATGTTTATTTTCCCATGATCTATCTTTGTGAAGTCTCTCTGGGACTTGTACATCAGGCGCTCTTTAAGCAGCAGTAGGGTGAAGCTGCAGTGGAACAGCCAAAATTGAGAGGTTATGAAAAACAGCCTGAAGGGCCAGTGGCCACTGTCTGTTTCCATTTGCAAGAGAAAGAGGTGACCTGCTTGTGCAGCCTGCCTGATAAAGCACGGAACTAAGGTTTGAAAGAGGGCAGTGGGGGAAACAGGTCTTCAAAACTACTGGAAATGTGTCTGGATTAGCAAGAAGACCTCCTTTCTGGAAGTACTGACATGGTGCTTCTGAGTAATTGACATAACAGGCACCTTCTGTTTTTGAAGGCTTGAAGCAGAAACTTAATGCACCCATTTAACCTTTTAGTAACAATAGGCTAAATCAAGCCTTTGTTTAAGCCCAGCCACTTGCTCAGTCCTTAGTAAAAGGTTTACTTTACTCCTTGAGCTGTTCAGGTCCAGCTGTGCAAAACTGGAGAAAAGGTTGGCATGAATGTGGCTTTTCTCTCAGTTGGAGCTTGCTATTCACGGTGGTAGTGAACTTTACTTCTGTGTGTTTACTTCTAGAAGTACTGCATGAGTGGATCTTCTTGTGTCTCAGTCCATATGTAAAATTGTGTAGTAATAGAGGCCTTTTTAATGACACAGGTTTTGCTTTGTATGAGCTTTCCCAAACAAAGTTCTGTATTGATATTCCCAAAAATATCAATTTTCTACAGTACTGCTCTTTAAAAAAAAAGTATCTAAATAGATATTTGATTGTTGTTTAAAAGAATAAACTTGAATTTCTATGTGTCCAGCTTTTGAGCAAGGACAAGACATATTTTTAAAACTGGTTTAGAAATCAGGAAGAAAATAAGCACAGCAAAACTTTGATTTACTCATGGTCTGTTCTTAGACCTTTTACCTCTTTTTGCATAAGTTAAAATGAAGGTGACAAAATCTGAGAAAGTTCATTTCTTTCTGCCACTGATGGCTCAATGGTGTAAAATGGCCTTGTGCTTTTCTAATCTTAATTTGAGATCAGCTACTGTGCAGTTTGAATTCTGTTGCCTGTAGTTCAAC